TGTAATGCAGTGTTATGATCCACAGTTCACCTTACAGACACGGCCAGCAATGCAGTGCTGACCTCCATCTCCTTTCTTGTTAGTGTACTTTGGATCGTATTCCAATGCAAACAGCTGTATTTTGCTTTTCAGTATTTAAGATTGTGATCTCAATGTTTATCTGTGTTTTAAAATTTCTTTGTAACTTTCTATTTTTAATGAATATAGATTTGTTTTCTAGTTATGAAGGGTGACCTAAAGTTTTTACAAAATTGGTAAAAATCACAACAAATTGAGACTAGCCTGCTCAGTCACAATCCAGCCATGCAACGGTAATCACATCTAAGTACCCAAGCACTTATTAAGTTAGGTAGAGGCTCCCTCCACGTTGCTACATAACGGCTGTACGCAATTATAAGGGCATGCTGTTTGTCTACAAAGTTAGCTGAGACAGGTTGGCAAGTCCAAAACTAGAAGAACTTCAAAAGCTAACAGAGTTAAAGGTCATGCAGATTCCAGAACAGTGAGTCACGACCAAGCTCACTCTGTTCTAATCTTAAAAATCCAGCTTTAACCTGAAAGAAACCTCTAGTCTGATACATATTTTACCCAAGAATATTAAACCTTTTACCCACTTACTGCCTTTATTAGAAATGTCCTTTATGGCAGAAGGTTAGTTGGTTGGTTGGTTTTGGGTTTTTTAACACAGGATTTCTCTGTGTAGCCATGGCTGCCCTGGAACTCTCTCTGTAGACCAGGCTGGCCTGGAACTCAAAGATGCCGAGTTCTTGCCTCTGCCTCCTAAGATTAAGGGCATGCACCACCTCCAACTGGCGTAGGCAGAGGGTATAGTTAAAGAGACTCATGTGGTGAAGTGCATGCCCTTTATCCACATTACAACAGGAAGTCCCAGTAAGGTGTGTGTGGTGGTGCCCAGGCAGGAACCCAGCTCATGATCTTTCTTTCCACTTAGCAATGCTACATATTGGTACAAGAGAATCACTGAAGGTTAGAAAGACAGACACTGGGGAGCAGAGCAGTTCAGTGAGGCCATAAAATAACCTGCTTGGTGTCACTTGGGTGGGTGGCACTGAGACCATCTGATCCTAGTGATTCTTCCTTAGGTGGCAGATTTGAACTGCCCTGTGACAAATAGCTGATATTTAGATGCAAAATGATGGCTGGCTAGAAGTCTTTGCTGCTAACTGATCTTAAATCTTGTTCCTGTATGCATAGTTGACAGCCACCATAGTGATGGTGGTTCCAGACACTCTTAAGATCAAGAAGTTTGTTTGTTTGTTTGTTTGTTTTAATTGAGATTTGGAACCTTGAATCATGGAGCTTGTACATCTCGGCAGCATCCCTACCCACAAAGAGCCTTGTGATTGAGACCAACTGTTTTTCCTTCTTTTTTTTTCTTCTTGTTTTGCTTTTGTTGTTGTTGTTGTTGTTGTTGTTGTTGTTGTTTTTCAAGGCAGGTTTTCTCTGTATAGCCCTGGCTGTCCTGGAACTCACTCTGTAGATCAGGTTGGCCTCAAACTCAAAGAGATCTGCCTGCCTCTGCCTCCTGAGTACTGGGATTAAAGGTGCGTGTCCACACCATGCCCAACATGTAACTCCCTTTTTTTCAATCTAGCATTTTCCACTTAATATTATTTCTCTGTCTGTTCTTTTATGTTCTCTGGAGGAAAAGGTTTCATTGGCTGGCCTGGCACTCACAGCAATTCTCCTGCGTCCGCCTCCTAAGATGAGTCACTCTGCTCACCTCTCTACTGTTCTTCATAAACATTTTTTACATAGCTGAGTGACAGTTGTGTGGAGGCATCATGATTTACCCAGTCTCCTCCTGGGCTGTAAACTCTTCATTTCCAGCCGAGCTTGGTGGTGTGCACCTGTAATCCTAGGTCCTTGGTCCTTGGAATGTAGAATACAAGATCAAGGCCAGTATGGTACTCCCAAATTGGGGGAGGGGGTATCTAGAGAGCTGGCTCCATAGATAAAGGTTGACATGTAAGCCTGAGAAACAACATTCAGATCCCGGAACTCATGGGAAAGCCAGGTGGCCATGGTACCTTGCTCCCTACATTCCTGGGGAGGCAGAGACAGGAGATCCAGAGCGAGCTGGATAAATAGACTGTCCTAATCTGCAAGCTCTGGGCTCAGTGGAAGACCCCGTGTCAGTAAAGAAGGCGTAGTGGCTGAGAAAGATATCTGACATGAACTCTAACCACCACACATAAGCACATGCACATGCATGGGTGTCCATACACATGTGAACATATTATATATGCTCCCTCCAATACATACATGTGCATGCTAAAAATAAAACAACAACAGCAAAAAACCTGGAAAAAGTCATTTCCACTTAAAGGTACTACATATGACCCTAGGATAGACGCCTTGGCACATCAAGTTTTTGGTATATTTCAGACTCTTTTTTTAAATGGCTTATCAGATACAGAGTAACATGTGGCCTGCATGTTTGTGAAGAGTCTCCAGGAAGGCTTCAGCAGCAAAACAGATCATTTTACAGCCACTTTGCTGCTGTTAACCTGCATCAAGTTTGCTAGCCGGACAGCTTAGCAACACCAAATGCTGTCAGAGATGAGCCTGTAGCCCAGGACTAAGTCATTCCTACCGACGTATGCTGGTTCATGCCAGTGTGGACTGACTGTCTTTGTCTCCCTAGAGCAAGAGGAGAAGGAGCTGGAGGAATTCCTGTGCCCAGTGAAAACGCCCACTGGACTCGTGGGTGCAGCAGCTGCCTTGCAGCCTGTCCCTGCCATGCCCTCGGCCCTGCAGAACATCTCCCTGAAGCATCTGGGAACTGAAATACAGTAAGTGAAATACAACAAGGGGTGGGGACACTCTTTCTGTGAGCTTCATCTGGTATGGTCCTGCAGAGGGGTGGGACACGGGTGGGTCATGAGCTTATTTCCAATCAGTCATATTGTTATTTAAAAAGTCCCAGCACTTGAGAGGCAGAGGCAGGAGTGTCATGAGTTCTAAGCCAGCCTGAGTTACATAGGGGGATCTTGCTTCAAAATAGAAAAACAGGGCTCATCCAGTAAAACACCACTCAGGCCTGGTGACCTGAGTTCCTGGAATGTGCATGAAGGTGGAAGGAAGTAACCAGCTCCAGAAAGCTGTCCCCACAGGCCCTGTGGCCCCAGCACCAACCACCCCACCCCACCCTGACACACCCACCCTGACACACCCCCACCCCACCCAGAAACGCCCACAATGACACATCCCCCACCCTGACACACACACACCACCCAGACACCCCCACCCAACCCAGACACACCCACCCAGACACACACACCCAACCCAGAAACATCTACCCTGACACACCCCCACCCCACCGAGACACACCCCCACCCAGACACCTCCCACCCCGACACACCCCCACCCACCTAGACACACCCACCCGGACACACCCCCACCCCACCCAGACACACCCCACCCCACCCAGACACTCCCATCCAGACACACCCACCCTGGCACACCCCTTCCCTGACACACCCACCCAACCCACAAACACCCTACCCTACCCTGACACCCACCCAACCCACAAACACCCTACCCTACCCTGACACACCCCACCCTACCCCAGCCTGACACACCCCACCCTACCCCAGCCTGACACACCCCTCCCTACCTCACTCCAACCCTCACCATGCCACACTTAATAATAAACAAAAATTTTAAAGGAAAAACCATTAAAAATTACCCATAGCTTTACCACCCGCCTTGCTTAGCAGGTGTATATAGTTCTATATATTCATGTACACTGAGGTCACGCCAAACGCTGATTTCATGTCAAACTATTTACTTCTAACACATAGACTTCGTCTTGTCGGTCATGTCAACTACTTTGTGGTGAAGGGTGTTGAGACAAGGTCTTACTCTGTGGCCCCAGGATAGTCTGGCCGTCATTTTGTGGCTCCAGTTGGCCTTGAACTTGCAGCAATCCTCCAGTCTCAGCTTTTTGAGTACTGGAATTATAAACATGAACCACCAAGCCAGGTCCTGACTGCTGTTTAATTTTTTTATTTTGCTATTTTATGTATATGTATGTCTGAGAGGATAGTGCTGTCGTTCCCAGGAGAGAAACTGGCTTTAGAGAAGAGATGAGGTGTATCCTCTGGGGTCTGCTGGCTGAGGAAGAGCTAACCCGCAGCCATTTGGACAGAGGCTCATGGAGCCCAGGAGAGAGGCCTGAGCTGGGAAGAGAAGCGGGGGACGTGGAGCATGAGTGAGCTCCCCAGGGTGCAGGGCTTATCCTTCAGGAGATGCTGACGAACTGGGTGTGTTGGGAACATGCTAAAGGGAAGAGGGGCCCGGGAAGGCCAGGGCAGGCGGTTTGTGCCTGAGGGAGGCCACAGCCACAGAAGTGGGACAGAGAACACGTGGAGCCTGAGAAAGGAAGTTCCACAGCGTAGCCCAGGCACTGCCCTCCAGGCACTGTGAGAACCCCAGATACGAGGCAATGGCAACATTGCAAGATGAGTTCCCTGCACTTCCAAGGAACAGACAGTGGTCAGGTGAGAGCTCCCCGGATGCCAGGCACAGGCCCTGGCAGGCCTCGAGCTTGCGTTTGTGCTGCCCAAGCACAAGTGGTCCTCAGGGGGCAGGATGAGGGGCATCCTGAGCACTGCCAGAGGCTGTGTAGGGGCGAGTCTATAGGAAGCCGCTGTGCTGAATGTCAGTCAGGTCTGACACTCAGCTCTCCTGCCTGTCCATTGGGGACACGTCATAGCATTCACTTCCTAGGTTGTTGAGAAAATAAAATAAGTGGAATACATCATCATGTCGCTCTTAGAACTTGGTCCAGGGGAGGGCCCAGGCAGTGTGTTGTGAATCTGTTCCTAATCCCCATGGCAGAGGAGGTGTCTTAGTTAGGGTTTTACTGCTGTGAACAGTCACCATGACCAAGGCAATTCTTATAAGGACAACATTTAATTGGGGCTGACTTACAGGTTCAGGTCTTCTTGCTCTCCCACATCCAAGGACCACTAGTCACAAGCCCGTGACATGCTGGGGAAGCTTAACTCCTGACAGAGGGAAGTGTGGGCACTGGTGACTGTCACCCCAGTAGCCAGTGCCTCTGGCTGTGGCATGTGTCCCTGGGTCCTCCCCCAACTTCTGTGGCTTGTGCCCTTGAGACCCATGGGTAGCAGAGCTCAGCACAGGCTAATCCCCATCGTGGTGGCTGATGGCCTCTCCAGCATGCCCAGTGTGCTTTTATTTTCAGATGGGGGAAGTAAGAATCAAGAAGGGAAATGGCCAGCCCAAGAAGTCAGGGGTCCTTTGTGACTGAGTCTTAATAACCAAATGCAAGGTCAGGGTTTTAGGATCCTAATGCCAATCTTAATCCAGCTGATGACTGTAGTCTTTGTCAGTCCTTGAAAATGCAACCCCATTCTTCTCTTATCCTGAACCCCAAGACAAACAGACTGGATCTTCTTTCAGAACAGCTTCAGGCTGGTGAGATGGCTCAGCAGGTAAAGGTGTTTGCTGCCAAGCCTGATGACCTGAGTTCGATCCCTGGGACACACATAGTGGAGGGAGAGAACAGACCCCCAAAAGTGTTCTCTGACCTCCCCAACTGTGCCATGGCATATTGTGTGAATAAAATAAAATCTGGTTTTCTTCTAAAAGTCCAACAAAATTGACAACTTTTAGCTAGGTCAAGAAAAGGGAGAAAATTCAAATTACTAAACTTGGAGACAAAAGAAGTCATTATTATCAACCTTACAGAAATAAAAAGAATTATAAAGGCCAGACATGGTGGTTGAGACAAGAAATTCTGAGTTCAAGGTCAGCCTGGACTACTTAGTGAGTTCCTGTCAAAAAATAAACAGATTCTAGGGACTGCTGTGAACAACTGTAGTGTCAACAAATTTTAAAGCTTAAATGGAAAGGACAAATTCCTAAAAAAGCACGAATTGCTGGGACTGACTGAAAAAAAAAACTTGAGATTTGAGTAGACCTAGTAACTAGTTTGTAGAGAGCCTGACGGCCTGGGTTGGCCTCCCTGGACAGTTCTGCAGGTATCTGAGGAATCACCGAGTTCCCTCCAAGGCAGGGGAGGGGGCACTGCTGAGGCGCTAACTGATCAGTGCACCACAATCCTTTTCTCCCCTGCCAAGTTTCACAACCATTATCAGGCTCAGTCCCTGACTCCCTTCCCTTTCTGGGACCTGGAATAGAGTCTGTCAAACCATGTTTTATTTCTCCACCATCTGAGGATTTGTGGAATGAAGATTTTCCAGAGTGACTTGTCTATCTATTGCTTGAAGGATGGATCTCACACAGGGACAACACAACTGAGCCAGGGTCTACTGAATTTCCTGTCCCCTTGTCTAACCACCCCACCCCACCCCACCCTGCTGCTGCATTATCACCCAAAATGGTAACTGCTCATAGTGAAAACTAGTTGTAATAGCTCAAAACAAGTCTCCGCAATTTGTAGAAAACATGGCCTGTCACTAGATGGGTAGCTCTTAATCCCCCCCCTCAGAAAAAAGAGTCAACATATCAAATTTATTTCATTCTTCCCTATCCTTTATGTAAGGCAGACAATGTTCATGGCTACTCTGTGATAGTAAGCAGTGTAAGATTGGGTCAGGAGAAGTGTGGACTGGGACTGTAGCTCAGTTGGCAGACTCCTTGCCTCTCGGACTCACTGGAGCTCTGCATTTGATCCCTGGTGCCACACAGCAGAGGGGTCAGAAGTCCAGAGTCATCCTCTGTCACAGAGTAAATCTGTTAAACATGAGATATGATCTAAGATGCATGGGACTCCATCTCAAGAATAAGAAAAATTCAAAGAAAGGACTAGAGAGATGCTCAGTGCTAAGTGACCTCAGGTCCTCTCTATAACTGGCGCACCGGGGAAGCAGAGACAGGAAGCGCTTCGGGGCTCACTGGCCAACCAGTCTAGCTGAGCTGCAAGTTCTGGGTTCTGAGAGAGACCCTGTCTCAACAACACAAACGTGGACAGTGAATGAAGAAAACAGCCAATGTCCACCATACTCTACACAAATACACAGGGGTGGGGGCTGGACCTGAGCTTAGCCTTTCTCTGCATGGCAAATGATTTTAGTTGTAAGATCATTGTGGGATCACAAATAAGAACATTCAAAACACAGTCAAGTCAGACACTCTACATCTTGTATCTACATTAAAAGAAATCTTGGGAAATTTCAAAGAAGTCTCCCTGCCTTCAGAACCCCTCCTACAAAACTCCATTGGGAAGTTCGCCTGCCTAAGGCTGGCTCTCAGAAGCCATCGTCCTCTCTGCCCTCCTGTACTGGTGTGCCTCCTGCTAGCATATTTCTTGTTGTGGTTCATGGGCTGATTCTCTTTACACAGCCTGCAGTTTCAGTTCACATAGGGAGCTCTTTTTCTCTCCCTTGCTACTAATTACCAGATTGATGTGCTTTTATCTCTGTGCATGGGAGCATAAGCACCTGAGCTATCTCTTCATCTGGTGGACCATGATTTGTTGTAGTCTGTACTCTCGGGACAGCCTTTGTTGCTGTCCTGTACCTGGTTTCTTTCTGTAAGCCACACAAAGGTTAAGGCTGGACTCTGGGGTGGGGTCTCAGCCTCTACAAGCCTGGGCACAGCTCTGAAGCTGTCTGGGCACCAGTGTAGTAAGCCCCTCGGTAGCCATGAGTCAGTGGAGCCTGCAAGGCAGGGTGGGTCTGGGTCTAGGAAGAGAGCAAAGGCAGAAAGCTGCATGGAAATGTTTGCAACATGCCTCAGCAGAGCTGGGAGCCACTGATGGCCTTTGGGCATGGTAGTTGGGAGGCCAGAGGGTTTGGAGAAGTTAGGTCGGCAAGTCCATTCAACAAACATGAAGCAGTTTCTTATTACAGGTGCTGTTCTAAGTCTACCAGTGAGCAGAATGGCAGGTGTGGGGCACATGCTTCAGCAGCAGGGTTGGGGTTATAGGAACCAAGCTTATATAAGCGGCCATTGCAGGAACGATGCACAAGACCTGCACAAGACCTGTACAAGGTCTACCCAGTCAGTAATTCCAGCACCAATGGGGTAGGGGCTCATGAAGTTCCACCACTAGCTGGCATACTACTGGCAACTAGTGGCTACTGGGGAAGGAAAAGCCATTGTTCTCCAGGGTCGTAACCAATGGTAGGTTGTCCTTGCTCAAGCAGACAGCAGTAATTGGAATCAGTGGGAAGGGAATTTGTTGAGGGGACTGGGGAAGGTGGGAGAGGGGAGGGGGGAAGTTAGGGAGGATATGGCCATGACAGATTGTAGGAGGCTGGGGAAATAAATGGTTCCCTGGTTAAGAGCACTTATTCTTGTAGAGGACCCCCACCCATTCAATTCCCAGCATCCACATGATGGCTCACAACCATCTGTAATTCCAGTTCTAAGGGATCCAACCCTCTTCTCACCACCTCAGACAGCAGGAGTGCACATGGCTCACAGACACGCATGCAGGCAAAACACTCATAAAATAAAAGAAATCTAAAAAGAAATCACTGTATTTATGTGTGAAACTCACCAGGAATAAAAAGTAGGGAAGTGTAGTGTAGAAGGGGCTACGTAAGAAGGGTGAGGGGCTTGGGATGGGGCTGAGGAGGTGGGAATGGGGCTTGGGACGGGGCAGGGAGGTGAAGCTGCATCATACAGGGTGCTGAGGTGGAGACCAGTTGGGATGATTGGAAGCTTGCTGCTGAGGCCAGAGCTCTGCAGGCAACAAGAAGGGCAAGGAGGTCGCTGGCCTCATACTCCTCACTCCTCCTTTCAGAAACACCATGCACAACATCCGTGGCAACAAGCAGACCCAAGCAACAGCCCATGGGCCACTCGTGGAAGAGCCGTCACAGAGTGTAGAGCCTCAAATCAGGGAGCTGCCCTTGACCTCTGACCCCAGCATTCCAGGTAAGCTTTGTCCAAGTCTGAGACCAAACCCTGTCTCCTCCCTGCCTGCAAGGGTGTGTGTGTGTGTGTGAAAGCAGAACACTTACTGTATGTAGTTTTTATAGTTAGGTGGGAGCTGAGAAGTCTAAGGTCTGCATGCTGCAGAGTAGGATTCTAAGAAAGGTCTCCTCCAGGCTTGAAGACAGCCAACACTGTGTCCTCTTAGGTGGCGGAGAGAGCTCTCATCTTCCCCTTCTTCTGAGGGCACTAATCCTATCATGGGGCTGCACCTTCATCTAAATTACCTAAGGCTCTGCCTCCTAACGCCAGCACTCTGGGGGACTAGATCTTCAGCCTGGGGCTATGGGAACACAAACATTCAGTCCTTAGCAGTGTGTGTTGTGTGATACTCTTCCTGGGAAGATGTAACACACAGACACACACACAGACACAGATACACAGACACAGACACACACACACACACACACACACACACACGTCTATTCACTCCAGAAAGAATACTTATAACAGACCAAAATTTTATTTCGGTTACTAACAGGGATGGGGTCAGGGTACTTAAAAGCATCAGGGGTGACTCAGAAAAGCAACTGGATCACTGAAAAATGCCCAACACAGGTGTGGAGTCCTGAAAGCTTCACAGGAGCCCATCTGGGGCGCTCTGCTTGTCGCAGGCAGCTCGGCAGTCCCCACGTCTCTTCTCTCCATAGCTGGGTTCGTCAGCCTCCTTCCCCGGCAGAGGCTGACTCAGGTTTATACTGCCGGGGGAGGGGCCCTCCAGAATCTTCCAGGTTTCTGCTCTCCAGATGAGTTACCTTTGTCTACCTACTGAGTCTCACAGGGCTCCCCTCCCTCCTCAGGCTCCAGAGGTGAAGAGTAAGAATTCTGTTGGTTTCCCTGATGAGACAGAGCCTCATTTGTCCCAGGCCTCTAACTTGCTATATATCCGAGAGTGACCTTGAACTTGCAATCTTCTTCTACCGCTGCCTCCTGTGCTGGGATACAGGCGTGCACCACCAGGTTTAGGATGTTTTATTGTAGTAAAATATATATGCATAACAAAGTGTATCATTTTATTACATTCCATTACCTATTCAGAGGCATTAAGTGCATTCACACTATTATGTGGCTGTCACTGCCATCTGCCCCCAGGATCCCATCTTTCCTGCAGAATTCTTAGTAATCATTCATAAATAAGCAAGGTATATTTTCCCCTTTCCAGTTTATAAGGAAACTGCAGAAAGGTGCTGTTACCTGAAGATATGGATGAGGCACTTGTAGGTCTTCCCATCCTGACATCTGTGTTTCTCTCCTCAAGCAGAAACAGAGCCAGAGGGTCCTCCCAAGTCTGCTCCCAGGTCCTCTGTGCCCTCGGGTCCCATTCAGAAACCCAAGCGGCAGAGCAACACCTTCCCGTTCTTTTCCGATGGACTGGCTCGGAGCCGCACAGCCCCGGAGAAGGTGGCGGCCTTGGAACAGCAGGTGCTGATGCTCACCAAAGAGCTCAAGTCACAGAAGGTGAGCCCCAGCTCGTTCCCTGGAGCCCTACTTTGCCCCGTGACTTTGAGCCTTGTCGATTGCTCTGTGTGGTGCATCAACCTGACACGGCACAGCTAGTTGTATCTGGTTGCAGGGTCTTGGGAGGGGTCCCCAGTGCTCGGAGAGAATGGTCGTACCTTCTGACTGTGTGCAGATACCTGAGGGACTAGCACAGGACAGACAACACTGGCAAGGTGTGGCAGAGAACAGTGACAGGAAAGGGATTTAGTTTTCTCATGAGAAGTTCTCTGTAGCAGTTACAGACGGACATGTGTAGCCATTGTGGAAAATAAAGGGCATTAACGTGTTCAGGTTTCACCTCAGAGCAAGCCTTGGTTATGGGGAAAGGCTATTCTGTGACATGGTGAGCATCAGTGGCCGAGGTGTGGGAGAGCTGCAGCACTGGGCAGGTACCTCTCTCTAGCATAACGATAGTGAAGGTCTCACAGTTGTTCTCGAGAAGCTCAGGTGAGGCCCTGGTGGGCTCCTTTCCGCTGTGAGGAAGATGGAAGCTTGTGCTTGAGCTCCAGCTGCCTGAGCCCTTCCTGCTTCCTTCTCTGACCCTTGCTGTGCGGGACTCAAGCTGGGCTGGGGCACGTGCTCTGTATAGCTGAGTCTCCATTCCCTTCTACAATTCTTCTTGTGTTTTCCGGCCTGTTTGCGGAGACACCGGTTGAGAAAAGCACCCTCTGCCTTCCTAACCTTGCCCCTTCACAGCAGGCCATGGGTTACAGTTAGTGTAGGTAGATGGAGATTGGAAAGGTTTCTCTCATTCATGCATCTTTACCTCAGGCCTGTAGCATGCATGCAGTGTGCTGGTATTGGAAAAGAACAGTGTGAGGGTCACAGGCCCAGCCCAAACGGGGCATGCATAGCAGAGGCAACTGCAGGGTAAATGAACACTCAGATGTGTACTTCCTGCATGTGGGGACATAGCAGTGATGTGGGAGCTCAGGTCTTCCTTGAGCCCAATGATCTGTCTTTTCCTCCTGTCCTTGTCACTAGAAGGTATTCAGTTGAACTGTAATGGCTTCGGATCCCTGGATTCATGTAGCTGAAGCCCCTAACCCAAACTTGGAAGAAAATGGAAAAGAACGACTGCACACACTGCCTGTCCTGTTACCACATGTCCCTTCTTCCTAGAACACATGGGTAGCTCACCCCTTACCTAGTCTTTCTTTCCAAGGCATAACAAATGGTCAGAGGTACTCAGGAGGCCCTTGGAGACCTGTGAACCTCTGGAGGCTCCCTGCCTTCCTTCCATAGATGAAGGCAAGACTCTTAGAGGCCTGTAAGGATGGCCAGGAAATACCCCATTCAAACAGAGAAGGTCTTGAGGAAGTTGTTTGGGCCTTTCAAAATGTGGATTTTTTTTACTTGGTAACTTTCCAGGAAACCTTCTCTCTGTTGAGAAAGATGGCTGGGAGAGAAGGGTTTGTGGTTTAGCCTTTGACTTATAGAACGAGTAAACTTCACTGTCTCACGGATGCATGGCAGGCTAGCAGCGACTCCCAGAGCAGGCAGGCCAACATTCTGACTGTGCCGTGTCTGTTAACTTCCCAGCCCAGATCCTCATAGTAAATGCAGTTATGGCCATTCTTTCTGGAGAGGCCCGGGTCTGGACCCTAAGGTCAATGCCTCGCAACCCACAGTGCCCACAGCTGCACGTATGGCCATCAGGCTTTTACTTTGGGGCTCCCAACCCTAAGTGTTGGTTCCTCCCACCTTACAGTGAACAGGCTCCCTCCACCGGGCTCTGAGGAGATGGTGGAGTGATCCTATCAGAGCTTCCAGGAAGTGTGTTCCTGGCCTCGCAGTGAGGTGAGAGCTCAGGTCACCGGACTCAACCAGCTCTTAAGTGTTAACCAGTCATCCAGGCACCGAAGTCAGGAGGGAAGAACAGGAGACCAGCTGCTGACACCAAGATGGCCAGGGGCAGATGGAGCAGAGAAGCCAGGCCCTGGGTGCCCAGTGGTACCTGGAGGGTGATACCTGGCACTGGTAATATTAGGAAGAGAGAAGTTCATCTTAGGCCCTCAGCGTCTGTTCTGGTTTTCTGTTGTTGTGGTAAACACCATGACCAAACTGGGGGAAAGGGGTTATTTTATCTTACACGTTACAGTCCTCCTCTGAGGGAATCAAGGCAGGAGCTCCAGGCAGAAGCCTGACGTAAGAACGACAGAGGAAGGCTGTGACACTGCTTTCTGGTTTGTCTCCACTGGTTTGCTCAGCTACCATTTTTATGCAGTCTAAGTCCACCTGCTTCACAGGCCTGTCTGATCTGGACAGTTCTTCAGTTCAAGTTCCCTGTTTCCCAGTGACTGGGTTTGTGTCAAGATGACAGCTGAAGCTCACTATGACAGGGTCCCTTAGAAGGAAAATGGCTCCTGACTCTCCCAAGGGCAACACCCATGAGATGCTTTCCTGGGTAGGAAAGGGTTTTAGCTTCAGGAGAAAATGACAATAAATCTTAGTTCAGCCAGCCATGTCGATCAGTGGTTCTCAACCTGGAAGTCATGACCCCTTTGGGGATGACCTAACACCATCAGAAAACACAGATATTTACATTATGATTCACAACAATAGCAAAATTACAGTTATGAAGTAGCAACTAAAATAATTTTATGAATGGCAGTCTCTATAACATGAAGAACTACTGCATTAAATTAGGGTCACCGCATTAGGAAGGTTGAGAACCACTGAAGTAGATGAACACCAGTGGATTCTATGGCCCTGTGAGAATTTGTGCCTCAATTTTTATACTCTGCCATCCTATGGGGAAGAGAAGATAGAATATGCTAACCGGCATGTTAACATGTCATGGCCCCAGCACACACAGGGCGGTCTGAGCATCAGCTGTAGTTCTTACCACACCCTCCTTCCTGGAGGTCTGAGGGTCTGAGAGCTCTCCAAACCCAAGTGTCCCAGGGGTCAAATGTGGGGTTAGAGTCTGATCTACCTACCGCTAGAGCTTACTGTGGTAGCTACCACTACCACTCATCCTTTCACTGAGCCTTGCTCAGCGGGGCTTAGAGGTGGTGACTTGCCTGAGGTCTGATGCTGCAAGCCTGGGATGCTGTCCATAGCCAGGTCACCTCCACTCCTCCCCAGTCTCATGGCGTAGCATCATACACAAGTGCAGGACTGATCTTGGAGGAACATGAGCTCACTCTCAATGCCTCCCTGATTCAGTAAGCCCACTTAAGTCCTCATCCATCTCACCAACCCCATCACTGGACCTACAGAGGTTGGTTTAGACTCCAAGAGACAGCACCAGGTTTCGGGTTGGCTAGGTGCCTCAGGCCCCTGAGCTGAGAGTCAAGCCCAGTTTGAAAGCTGTCTGACCCGGCAGATGGCTGACTGTTGGCTAGTGTTGGCCATCTGTCAGGTGCTGGGAAAGCCAGACCCCAGTGGGGCCATGTAGACACACTTGGGATGTCTTGCCCTGACTTAGAAGGAGGACTGGGAGGTAGCTCAGCTGACACAACTTGAGGAAAAGCTTTTGACACTTTTTTAATTCTTGAGGCCACTATGCCTGGAACTGAAGTCTTTATCACTGCGCTAATTATGAGAAATTTAGCACCGTAAAAAGGCCAGCCTGAAGGCACCCTGTTAGGTCTGCCATCCTTAGATCTGTTAGCCTGTTATTTGTGACTGTGGCAATATGCCTACTGAAGGCTGCTTTATGAAAAAAAGAAAAGGGTTGCTATGTTTCAGGGTTCCTCTGATTGCTGGGGTGCACACAGTCTTGCTTGACTTACGTTAGGCAAGCGTCCTAAAGCTTGAGCTTTAAGGCTGAAGTACCTCTCCTGGGATGGCCTTGCTGACAGAGTTCTGAGGCAATTCAGGACATCACATGGCATCACAAGGAATGTGTGCCTGTGTGTGTGTGTGTGTGTGTGTGTGTGTGTGTGGTCTGGCTTTCCTCCTCACCAACAGGATTCAGTGGTGGGGACTCCATTCTCGTGACCTTATCTGATGCTACACACCTCTCAAAGACCCCAGTGGCCTAAGGACTGTTTCCTCCCTCTTAATAGTTCCCAGTGGAGAAGCAAAGTGCAGCGCGCGCCCAGAGCGCCTTGTCCGCGGCTCGGATTTTTCAGCGTTTCCTTTTCGCAGCTAGGGGGTGGGGAGGCCTCGCGTGAGTGTGAACGGGCACGCGCGCGCGCGGAGTGCTGGAATGGGAGGGAACCCAGCCGGCTCGGAGTGTTCTTATCCCAGGCTGCCTTTCTGATTCTAAGTGGCACCCTGAGTCCCTACTTCCCAAGCCTGTGCGCCCGCACTGTGCCTTCAGGCTCACCCAGGAATGGAGACGCCATTGGATGTATTGTCCAGGGCAGCCTCTCTGGTGCATGCTGATGATGAAAAACGTGAAGCTTCCCTCAGGGGAGAACCCAGAATGCAGACCCTCCCGGTGGCCTCAGCTCTCAGCAGTCACCGGACAGGCCCGCCTCCCATCAGCCCCAGCAAGAGGAAATTCAGCATGGAACCCGGGGACAAGGACTTGGACTGTGAAAATGATCACGTCTCCAAGATGAGCCGTATCTTCAGCCCCCATTTGAATAAGACTGTCAACGGAGACTGCCGCAGAGATCCCCGGGAACGGAGCCGCAGTCCCATTGAGCGGGCTGCAGCCCCCGCTGTGAGCTTGCATGGTGGCCACCTGTACGCATCCCTCCCCAGCCTCATGGAGCAGCCTCTTGCCCTGACTAAGAGCAGCAGCGACACAGGCCGGTCAGCTGTGGAGCGTCAGCAGAACCGGCCCTCCGTGATTACCTGTGCATCTGCGGGCGCCCGCAACTGCAACCTCTCTCACTGTCCCATCGCACACAGTGGCTGTTCTGCGCCTGGGTCCGCCAGCTACCGGAGACCACCCAGTGCAACTGCCACCTGTGACCCTGTGGTGGAAGAGCACTTCCGTCGGAGCCTGGGCAAGAACTACAAGGAACCAGAGCCAGCACCTAACTCGGTGTCCATCACTGGCTCTGTGGACGACCACTTTGCCAAAGCACTAGGTGACACGTGGCTTCAGATCAAAGCGGCCAAAGACAGCACATCCAGCAGCCCGGAGTCAGCCTCACGCAGGGGCCAGCCAGCCAGCCCCACCGCCCACATGGTCAGCCATAGTCACTCCCCCTCTGTGGTCTCCTGAAGGGGGAATCACCCTTCGACCACACAGGAATCTGCATGGTTTGCCTGAGCTTTGAACAGTCAGTGCTTAAAAAACAAAAAAACAAAAAAACAAAACAAAACAAAAAAACAGAAAGAAAAAAAATCCTGGGGGGAGGGTGGGTAGGTGGTTTATTCGCAAAACCATGTTGTCTGGACTTTTGTTCTGCTCTGTTTTTATACTTGCTTGGTGTTCGTACAAGGGCCTCAATGTGGCAACAGAAGAGCACGGAGCATTAAAGTCCAGCAGAGCATCCTTGCTTCCTGCCCTGGTTACCAAAGAAACCTCTGCAGGTCTGCCACCTGGCAGCCGGGACCCTGCGGCCCTTTTTCAGTCACAAGCCATGATGACATGGGGATCCGGACGCTTTGTGCTCTTAGCTTGTGAGGCTGGGTGTGCGCAGCTTGGCTTCCACCTGGGGTCTGGCTCAGTCTGCATTTGCATGTGTCTGCCTGAAGAGAACTGTCCTGATTTGCACTACGGAGGGCAGAGCTGCCTGCTGGGCAGCTGTCTGAGATGCCAGTACTGAGGGCAAACTGCTAGGGGACACTTCTGACCATGTGTGCTTGCATTGTTGCTGAATTTAGAAGGTCTCTAGCAGGTTCTAGGTCTTTCTCTAGGCTTGAGGTGCTCACAGCTGGACTGCAGACTCCCCCTGACCATGGGCATTTACCTTCTCTGAACACTGCAGTTTGTGAGGCTGGTGCCAAGGCTGGAGGACTCCGTAGTGCTTCTGACATGGTGTATGTCTCAAAAAAAAAAAAAGAATAGCTGGTTTCTATTGACTAAGCCCAGACTGTAGCACCGACTGGCTTCTTGTCTGGCTTCTTGTTGGCATTAGCCTGTTTTGTCAGTTTCAGCCCTTGATACATTCACTGCTGGTACAGCTGTGCTTCTGAGATGAGTCAATGCTCACTTTACTCCGAGGAGGAGTGCACAGCCAGTGGGTGTGGCAGGCTGGGGAAGCCCATTGCTGCTGATTTTCTGCATCCTGGGCTGGGGACGTGGAGTTTATGATTTTAGGCTCCTTGATATACAGACTGCTCCTTTCCAACTCCCAGCCAAACATCAGGTGCCTTACAGCCTGCAGCGTGGGGCCAAGGCTGGACACATTCCTCTGTATACAGTTATCCCTGCACCACTATTCCTGCACTATTAATAGCTACTAACTAGACATTAGCAGCCAGCAGGACAGACACGGCCCGGGATGCCCGACAGCTGCTGCTCCCCCCGGCCTTGAGCATTTCTGTGCCTGGCCTGGCCCACCTGAGGAGCTCCTCCCCCACAAGGCATTATGGACTCCTGCACATGGGAGCCCATGGGGCTGACTTTCAGGAGGAGGAAACAGGTTAGCTATTGAACTTGGGAAACAGGCACGGGTGGAAAGGTGGGGACTGATCCCCGTAGTCACAGGGTGGCTACTGGCCTTTACAAGCATGGACAGCCCTCCTCCTGCCCCGCACAAGGTTCACTCCACTCTCCTGGGCTTCCAAGCTTGGCATTCAGGCCCCTATATTTTCTGTAGAAAAAAAAAAGAATCGTTCAGAACACTTTTTTTATATAGGTAATTTTAAAGACCATCATTACGCTGTGCGTAAAGAATGTACAGAGAAATTTGTAGGTATTTTTTGAAGAACAATTAATTTGTTAATGATATGTAGCTATTTAATTTTCCCTTTCCTATTGTAATCATTCATTTTTTTGTTGTTGTTATTTGGGGGAAAAAAGTTGATCTTTTTTGTCGTAGGTGTGTCTGTAATCGTGCAGGTACACAGTTACTCCATGACAACACTGCGTCCGCATTAATAGCCACTAGTTTGTTATTCTACAGGCTACTGAGGTTGTCACAGGAAAACAACCGCACCGCGGACTGGCTCTGTGGGCAACGGGCCTCAGATACCCGTCAGTGAGCGGGTCATCGCTGTTGGGGGGGGGCGGGAGATGGCAGTGCGGATGGCCGAGTCCCTGGTGCGCTGACCTATCTGGAATAGGCTGTGCCCTGGAGTGGGATACCACAAATGTCAGCTGAGGAGTGCGCCATCCTGCCTGGGCAGGAGCTTGTGACCTCCCCAGAATCAAGCCATCTATGTGCGTGCTGACCCCTCTCTGTGTTTGTAAATCTGTAATATACCATTTTCTGTGGCCTGTTTTTTTTTTTTCCTGGAAGAAGAAAAAAAAAAAAGGTTTGGCAGGCCATCTTTTTTTTTTTTTTTTTTTTTGTACTTAAAAGTAGCCTTAAGAACAATAATAAAGTGCTCTTAAACCAAAAAAAAAAAAAAAATAGTTCCCAGTGGAACCACAAATCAATATGTGAAGCAGAGTGAGGCCTATGTTAACTCGCAGCCACCCTCCTGAACTCCACGTAGTCATGCACATAAAGGCGTGCATAAATCAGCAAAATTAAGGCTGATTTAAAAGGATAACATATTGGCTTTTAAAAAGGAAACTAAGGGGACCAGAGAGATGAGTCAGCAGTTAAGAGCACTGGCTGCTCTTCCAGAGGTCCTGAGTTCAATTCCCAGCAACCACATGGTGGCTCATAACCATCTGTAATGGGATCTGATGTCCTCTTCTGGCATGCAGGTGTACAAACAGAGCACTCACATACATTAAATAAATAAAAATAAATCTTTAAAATAAAATAAATAAAACAACTCATGACCAGGTCTGAAAATCTGAGCTGGCCCAGACAATAATTGATTTGAGACACCAGATCTTCTGCTTCCTAGAATTGGTCCTCAGGCATTGCTTATGATCTTACGACCGTGGAAACTGAGAACCACTCAGCTGTTCCTCTGCAGGGGCCCAGCATGCAGGGAATTTTGCTGCATCCATCCTTGTATTCCTGACATGTCACCTATGGGTGCTGCTAACTTGAAAACAGTAATGTTAAGCTGGTGTAGAGCCAGTGCAGGTCTAAAGTGAAGCACAGCCTTGTAATCCCAGCACTCAGGAGGTGGAGGCAGAATAACCAGATGTTCAAGGCCATCCTTAGTCACACAGCAAATTCCTGAGGCTACATGAGAACCAGGGCTCTGGAACTGGGACTTGGGGCCCTCTGCTCTAGCCTACTGACTCTTTAGTCTTTTCCCTGGGCTTCAGTCTCCAGGTAACAGCCCAGTGGCTGGGCAGAAAGTACACAGTCTTTCTGCATCTCCTACATCTCCTACATCTCCGAGCTTCCTGTGAGGCTGCCTCCTCTCCCCAGGCTCCTTTCTCCCAAGCATGTCTTCTGATATCAGGATAGGGTGGGGTGGTGGTTGGGCTTCCTGGCTGGAAGCCTGATTGGAGATGCCGGGAACAAGTAAAGGAAAGAGCTCACTGGCTGTAATGAGTTGGCTCCCAGATCCTGAAAGTAGAGGAAGATATTTATGGGCTTCTGGTCCAGAGCAAGACTCAGATATAGTATCTGTGCCTGCTTCACCCAGCAGTGACCCAGGGCCATCTCCAAGTCTCAGCTAGACCCTGAAGCCACAGGAATGTTAATCTCTCACTAGAGCCCCAGGAAGCTGTTTCTCCACTGTGGAACATTCCAGACATAGTGGTCTGGTGTGCAATCCTGTCCCTACCCCACCTGCTGGCCACACCCTCGAGCTTCCGAGGCTCCAAGCCTGCCCTTTCTGCTCCCCAGGCCTTTGTTCAGGCTGTCTTTGGGCTCTCTTTGGGGGCCTAACCTGGAAAGGCTGCCCCACCCTCAACTCCCACCAGCTGTCGACCATCTCTGACCCTCTTCATTCCTCAAGGCTGTATGAATTGTTTTACCATGTGTAATTGTTTTACCAAGTATAAGGGCCTTTCGTCACTTCCTCCCCAGGTGCAACCCACTGTGCCCCACCACGCCCGCCCACCCCTCTCTCATAGCCAACCACTCCCCTGCAGTGGTCCATCTTCACTCCCAGTCTTTGCAAACCTCAGAGGCGGGAACTGTCACATCCCTTTCTGGTCTACATCACTGGCATGATGGTGTGGGATTAATTCTTGAACTTGGAAGCCTGAGGCAGGAGGATCATGAGTTTGAGGCCAGCCTGAGCCAATAGTAAAGTCCTGCCTTGAACGAAGTCCAGAAAAAAGAGATTTGTCAGTAGATCCAAGGTGATCTTACCAACCAACCGCTGAGGCATGGTCTCCGGCAGATCTCCCAGATGATAGCGTGCTTAGTAATTAATTCCATCCAGCCAATCTACTTTCTGGAACACTGCAGCATGGGCACAACTAAGGTGTCACTAAGAGAATGTGTATTCCAAGTACACTAGCAGGGTCAGAACCTGACCTGTGGAGCCTCCCTGTACCGGGCTGCTGGGCTGCCTGGCTCCTGAAGCTCTGATCCTGGCCCTGGATCCATTCATTCTCTTCTTTGGGCATGGCAGGGCTGAGTCCTGGGAAGTCAGAGACCTCAGGCACCGTGAAGCACTGCAGACCTGAGGTCAGAGGAGGAAAGGCCAGTGCTGTTTCCAAGCCGTCTAGAACTTGCTTCCTGGACTGACCTTGCAGGCAGTGTTTCTCACTGCTGGGCTGAAGGCTACACACAAAGAGATTGCGTTTGCTTGGCGAGTGGCCTGGATTTCTCCTCCAGTTCTATCTCAGCTTGCTTGGACGTGGCTGTTTGGATGCTGTATTCCTTACTTTTCCAGTTATTGTAACAAAACCTAAGGAAAGCAATGTAAAGAAAGAAGGGTTATTTTGAGGCACAGTTCAAAGTTATATTCCATCGCTGCAGAGAAGTCTTGGCAGGAGGAGCTGAGACAGTTCCTTACCTGGCATCCACACTCAGAAGTGGAGAGAGGTGAATGTGCACCCAGCTCTCTTCTCCCTTTTTCCCACAACCCCAGCCCATAGATGGTGTCACCCACATTTAAAGCAGGTCTTCCCAGCTCAGTTAACCTCTAATCTAGAAACTGGTTCATAGTCATGCCCAGATGTTTGTTTCCATGGCAGTTCTAAATCCTATCAAGTTGACAGTCAAGATGAACTATCACAGATACCATCTTGAGGATTCTGAAGCTTGAACTACCGTGGCAAAAAGGGATGCCATGGCCTTTATAGCAACGTCTGTCTCAGAGTGAGAGGCAAGAGGCATACCCACATGCCACACATCTGCACCCCAATTCCATTACTAAGCTCAGGCTCTGGGGTCTGGATGACTTGGGACTGAACTCTCCTCTCCTGGGCTTCAGTTTATTCTTCTCCAAAGTAGACGTGCGTAAGTCAGAGTGTGGGTTCAGCTGTAACGGAGAAGCCTCAGAACTCGATAGCCCATAGAATCTCTATTTTTCTTTTGCACTGTGGAATCAAGATAACAGCAAGCAAGTCTGAGCTGGTACAGGTGGACAGCTCTGCTGTTCTCAGCATGAACTCCAGTTTGGGGACTGGGTAACTCTTCTCTTCTTTCCAGTCATTTCCCAGCCTGAAAGAAAGGGAGCAGGACCCAGAGAGCATGTGCCTCGCAGTCTCAGGTGACCCAGATGCTGCCCACATCTCTGCTCATCCATATTAAGGCAGAACTTGCTAGTGTGTGAGGAGTTTTTGTTTGTTTGTTTTTCTTATTGTTATTTGTTTTGCCAGATAGCCTGTGCTTATCTACCCCTCGTGTTGGACCAGGAAGTCAGAAAGGAGTATTGGGCTAAGATGCCCAGGGGAGCTGCTGGCCATCTCAGAGTTTTGAGATGGTATGTGATAGCATGTGCCTTCCTAGCACTCATGGCTGTTCCCTTCCCTCCCAGGAGCTGGTGATAATCCTACACAAGGCCCTGGAGGCTGCCCAGCAAGAGAAGCGAGCATCCAGTGCGTATCTGGCAGCCACTGAAGACAAAGATCGGCTGGAGCTGGTCCGGCACAAGGTGCGACAGATCTCGGAGCTGAACCAGAGGGTGGAGGCTCTGGAGCAGGGTCGTGACCGCCTGGTACACGAGGCTGGCCTGCGGGAGCAGCAGGTGCAGGCGCTTCAGCAGCACGTGCAACTGCTCATGGATAAGAACCAGGCCAAGCAGCAGGTCATCTGCAAGCTCTCCCAGAAGCTCACGGAAGACCTCGCACAGCCCCCCAGCCAGCCTGCCGATGCTACCAATGGCGACTTCCTGAGCCAGCAGGAAAGGATGGAGCATCTGAAGGTAGACCCCCCCCCTTCTCCACCCAGCAAGCTTTCCTGGCCTCTGGGGAGGGTGCCATGAGTGGTTTTCTAGTCGGAGCAGAAGTCGCCCCTCATTCTGGTACATTCAAACCAGAGCTAGATAGCAAGAGGGAAATTTCTCTTCCATCCCTCTCTTTGTGAAGACCCCGTGCAATGTGTCCTTTTATGCTGTGCTGGGCCTCTGAAAAATGCACAGGCTCCCAGCTTATCAACTCAGAGCTGAAAGAGCCCAAGCATAGCCCACTGGGGCCTGGCTGCACAGCCCCTTCAGTGCTGTTCTGTTACCCAGGATGCCCTCAGCTCAGCTCACACGTAGAACAAGTGACCTGTGCTGGCTGTGGCTGGCCCAAGGCAAGGGCAGCAGACACCACTAAGGGCTCCCCACATGCCAGGACTGTCTCCAGTGTTTACTGTGGCAGCCCTGCAAGGCAGCGACTGACAGATGGGGACTTCCCACTTTCCAGCTTCAAGTGCTAGGAATAATGCTTGCCCGGCAGCTGGTGCAGAGGTGGGAGCAGGGCTGGGCTGGAGCTCAGGTCTGTGACTGGTCTACCCGCTCTGCACAGAGGCTCTCCTGGCCTCTCTGTGCCACCTTCCATGCCTTGCTCTGCTTCCCTTCTCTGTCCTCATCTCTCTCTGCAGGCCACCCCAACTCACAGGGACCAACCAGGACGGGAGGGTTGGGGACGTCATTTGTGGTGTGATACCTGTTTCGAGCTACAGGGTCCCTGCAAAGGCTGGGACAGGAGCTGCCCAAGCAGCAGCATGCCTGAGGCTAAGGTGCTTTTGACCCTCACTCACTGTCTCTAAGGACAGCACACAGAACCAGAGCCAGTCAGACCCCAAACACTGCCTGTCATGGCCTCCCGTGTTTTGTAACTGGGACCAAAGAACTGCTGGGTGGTGGGAGGGAGAGAGAGAAGAGAGGCTTCTGGGAGAAGCACAGGGCGGGGTCAAACGTGACCGCTGCCCACCCTGTGAAGTAAGCTTACCCTGGTGTTGAGTCCTGCACTCTGCGCCTTGCTGGCTGTTTGGCTTTGATCAAGTACTCTCTCCTCTGTAGGAAGTGGCCTAACTCTTCCAGAGGCTGAACAATCCTTCAGGTAAAGGGAGGGTACTTGAGACCCATACCCCAAACTAGCAGGGGCAGGATGGCTATTATCCTGGAGTCAAAGGCTATCTAGGAATACAGCAGAAGGGCGAGCATCTGAGGCCTGCCAAAGCCCCTGGCCTGTGCATGGCGGTGGGAATGATTCTTATTGCCCAATATATCCTGGTTCTCCTAGCATCCTTCCTCCTCGGGTGTCCATGGTTTTAGACCCAATAGATCAGCACAGTGCTGAGACATTGATCACCCAGGTGGCTCTGGAGTGCCAAGGGCCACTTTTATCCTGCCTCCCCTAGGAGCCAGAGTGTGCCCTTCATTCACATCTGTGAGAAGATCCTTTATCTGTAAGGTCCATTTCGAGGAGGCTTGCCATCCTGGGATCTTATGCTTGTAGATCCTGCTCCTGAGCCCAGAACAGGGGCCTGACAGAGCTGCATGGACTAGTAGTTTGTAGCTCTCAGAAGGCCCATTAACTGGCCTTCATCAGCATGTGCCCATAGAGACTGCTCACACTGCCTGCTTGCCTGACACAGGACACCCAGTCTTAGAGAAAGGGCTTCTTATCCTGTCATTTCAAGAGTAGTGTCACTGACCTCTTAAAGTGTCAGACCTAGGGTAGGGCGGCCCAGTACTACCAAACTAGGCTCATAGTCCTTGTACCTAGGAGGGAAGTGGAGGCAGGAGGATTAGGAATTCAAGGCCATCCACAGCATTGTTTGAGGCCAGCCTGGACTACATAATGTCCTATCCGGGACAGTGAGGGGATCAAGCTTGGAAGACTGGGAAGTGTAGCCAAGCTGGGGCACTGCCAGCACATACAGCTAAGACAGAGAGGCAGATGGGTTCGGATCATACAGCAGCAGGCATCATGGGAGACTCAGAACCTCCCACACGAGCATTTCCCGTGACAATCTGTGGTGTCTGGTCCTTCGAAGGTGGTGGCAGGCTCTCCTCTCCTGGGCTCCTCCTGCATGTTGTCTTCTTGCTTTGCTCTGACTCTGTGTGGCTTTTTTCTTCTCTGAGGTCTCTCTTTTTCCTCCCTACAGTTCTGAGCCAAGGAGAGCACTCAAGGTAGGGCACCAAGCTGATTGGAAGCTGCCCAGCTGCCATTCCCACCCACTGTGCTCCAAGGAGTGTTCACACTCACCTCCCTGCCTGGGCACCTCTTGCCTTCCCTTTGACCTGGAAATGGCCACCCTATGTGACAAATCCATATTCTCGAAGTCTGCAAAGCCTGTGCTGAGCCTGGGTCTGGAAGGGGTGGGAACACGGAGCAGGATTCAGTGTTCTCTGGGCAGTCAGTGCTGTTTGTTAAGTGTCTCCTGTGGGCTGAACATTCCCAGGTTTGGATCCTTGCTTTCACATACCAGCTGTGTCACTGAGGGGATTACCGTGAGACCCTTATTTCCTCATCTGTACAATGGGAGCAATGGTACTTTAACACTTTGCCCACAGATGGCACACAGTGGGACTGCAGGACTGACAGACACTTTAAGCCCTCACCTAGGTGTTGGCTAAGAATCCCCATAATCAGTTAAAGCAAGTCGACTGAGGGAACAGATGGATTGTGGCAGTCACACACAGTGACTAACAGCCTGGGACTTTTCCTCAGTAGGAAAGGAAAGGCTTGGGTTCTTAGGGGATATGAGTGGACTTGAATGGCTTCTGGAATGTTCTTCTCAATGAAAAACAAAGATTGTGAGCTACAGTTATAGCTCTATATGGGGCCTTCCTGTGGCTCACCCAGCTTCTGTTCAAACAGCAGCTGTCACCCTTGTGCTGGACTGTGAAGGGAGACCTCAAAGCTCATAGCTGTTTATCACCATTGCTTCATTCTTTAAAGGGGGCAGGGGTGGGCCTGGAGAGACAGAATTGAAGAGCAACGTCCCGAGTTCAATTCCCAGCAACTACATGATGCCTCACAGCCATCTATACTGGGATCTGATGCCCTCTTCTGGCATGCAGATAGAGCACTCATGCATAAAATAATTAAATCTTTTTTTAAAAGACAGACAGATAGATAGATAGATAGATAGATAGATAGAACTTAGCCATAGAAAATTTCCCAGTAGGGTTAAGAAAAAAATAACTGTTGGAATTCAGCATGGAGGCACATACCTGTGTATCCCAGCTATTCTAGAGGCTGAAGCAGGAGGATGATGATGATGAGTTAGGAACCAGCATGGGACCATAATGGGGTCATCCCAAGAAAAGCAAAGGAGGGCCATGTGTGGTGGTCTGTGCATATTGCCAAAACCTGCACAGCCTTGGGATTGACCCAGGATAGACAACATGGGAGGAAGGAATGACAGACACATACAGAGGAGCTGAGGTGGTACAGCCAGCATCTCCGATGCACCAGTAGCCTGGAAACTCAGCACCGAATGAGGCCGTGGGTTTATTTTATGCAGCTGCACCAGGGGAAAGCCTCGTCACTCCCATGACTCTCAGCCTTGGCGTCCCTGACGTGGTTCTGCTCAGGACCGCATCCAGGACTGCACCTGGATCCTCACTCAGGACCACATCGGCTCTGCACAGCCTCAATCTTAGCACTTGGGAAATGGAGGAAGGAGGGTCTGGAGTTCAAAGCTATCTTCTTCAGCTATGTAGCAGATTCGAGAACAGCCTGGGATACATGAGACCCCGTTCAAACAAACAGAAAAGAAGGGGCTGGCAGTGGACAGAGCCCATCCTCAGATGCCACACAGGCTGGGTTTGAGTCCTCTGGTCAAAAGTATGCAAAACCCTTGAGCATCACATAGTCATGTGTATAAAGTGATACTTAACAAGAAGCAATCCACATAGCTACAATACCTGATGCTATATACTAATTTAAAAACACCCAGGGCAGGCCGAGAGGCCATGCCTTATCCTAGAATGTGAGAGGCGGAGTCAGGAAGCTGAGGATTCAAGGTGATCTGCAGCTACTTAGTGAGCTGGTAGCCTGCCTGGGCTACCTGAGACCCTGTCTCAACAAAATACAAGAGTCAGCATTTGAGTGCTTGGCTGGGCTCTGTCACTCATTTGACGTTACCTGCGGTAGCTCTGTGCTCTCCCAACCACTGAAGAGATTTATATCTGCCATTTTACAGATGAGAAAACAGAGGATCAGAATGATCCAGAGATGGCAGCCATCTTGAACTCCAGGTCTAGGGTGCCGCTCGCTACCACAACTTGCTGGAGAAGTTGTCCTTTGGGAAGGAAGCTTTGGCAGCTCCTTTGAGGGTGACTTCTCCAGAGCAGGATGTTTGTGGTACCACTGCTGACTACCCTTGCCTTTTTCCAGGATGACATGGAAGCATATCGGACCCAGAACCGCTTCCTCAACTCTGAAATCCACCAGGTCACCAAGATCTGGAGGAAGGTGGCAGAGAAGGAGAAAGCCCTGCTAACCAAGGTACCAGGGTTGATGGCCACATCCGTGTTCCTCCACTTCCTGCCCCTTGCCTCCCCACCTCCACTTCCCTAATCTCTCAGGCCTGTCACTTCTGTGGCAGCTTTCCAGAAGGTAGACTTGGCATATGGGACAGTTTGGAGTCTCTACCCAAAATCCCTGCAGCATCGAGACAAGACACAGGAAGTTCTCAATGAGAGGAAAAAGGTGGGCAGGGAGAAACCAGGAGGGGAGGAAGGCCAAAGGCTCCTCAGAGGTTGGATTGAAGTGTCCATAGACATATGCAGGTGGTGCCTGGGCAGGACTGGAGTGTTGGCTGCTTCAGCCCTGAGGCCAAGATGAGAACTGAGCTGGCCCAGCAGTCATGCCCAAATTCTACCGACTCCATCTTACAGAGACCAAATGCAAGGCCCAGAGAGCACAGCTGACTCACCCAAAGCCGTCTGACTTGTTCTCTAGGAGATAGGGTGGCAGTGCAGGGGCCTGAGGAAGAGGGTGCCCAAAAGCCTAAGGAAGGGAAGTACACAGTGAGGGCAGCAGGGGGAGCCCTGACAGTATCCTGGGATCACACCTGCAGAGGGAGCACTGACAGTATCCCAGGGTCACACCTGCAGGGGGAGCCCTGACAGTGTCCTGGGGGTCACATCTACAGGGGGAGCCCTGACAGTATCCTGGGGGTCACACCTGCAGAGGGAGCCCTGACAGTATCCTGGGGGTCACACCTGCAGAGTTGTCTCTGCCCAGTGCCAGGCAGGGCTTTACATGGGGCTCTGATCCTTGCCAGAATCTTGAGGAGACTCCAAGTTACCCCTGTTCTACAAATGAAGAGCCTGAGGTGTAGGGTGAGCTAACGCATTAGCTGACTTGCCACAGGCCACAGTGCTTGCAGTGTCTGATCCAGGATACAACTCAAAGCCACGCATGCGCTGTGCTGTATCTGCCCCTCGCTTCCCCTCGTCTCATTTTGATCCCAGCTCCCTCATTGGGCCTGGATCTCTCACTTCCCTGCTGTAAGCCATGGCCTCCTTTCTCTATCTGCAGGTCCAGGAGAGGGGTGGGCAGGGAAAGCAGAATTGGGAGGGCCCAAAGCTGTTCGTGGCTTTGGTAGCCTAGGCAGCCCAGAAGCCTGACCAGCTGCTCCACTCTCACAGTGTGCCTACCTCCAAGCCAGGAACTGCCAGGTAGAAAGCAAGTACCTGGCCGGGCTTCGGAGGCTGCAGGAGGCGGCAGGGGCGGAGGCTGCCGACTTCTCTGAGCTGCTGCAGCAGCTGGTCCAGGAGGCACTGCAGTGGGAAGCAGGAGAGGCCTCTGACAGCATGGGGCTGAGCCCCGTCAGGTGAGCCCAGTGGGTAACCAGGGAGGGGCTGCGGGCATGGTGAGATCATTGTCACTAGTGCTGCTGGCCACATATGCCAGCACTACACAGCTGTGGGCTCCCCGAGCACATAGTATGTGGTGCCAGCCGAGGGGGCGGACCTGTTGGAGGCACACAGATTATATAGCCATCGCACCCACAATTACTCAAGCCGCCTCCAGCCAAACCCTGGCTGAGCACAGCAAAAGCAGGAAGTTGTGTCTGTCAGGCTCTGGGGTCACTGGCAGGAGTCTGCCAGTTTTGCTTTGTGTCCCTAAGCAAGTCACTTTGCCTTTCTGCTCTCTCTGTTCAGGCCCCATGTAATACAGGTGAGGAGCTCCACCTCACAGGCTCCCACACAGCACACACAGTGAGCTGCAGCCAGTGAATGCATCTCTCCTGGGCTGCATATGAGCTCTTTCATTTACCAAGGGGATCTCCCTTATCTTCAGGAAGTTCTCCCAGCTGTACAGATAGGCAAACTGAGGCCAGGCTCTGGAGTGATCTCAGTGCACCCAGGGTGAGAGCCCATCCAGGGACGGCCGTGCTAACATGGCCCTTTTGCCAGCAGCGAGTACGATGACTATGGCTTCCTGACGGTGCCAGACTATGAAGTGGAAGACCTGAAACTGCTAGCCAAGATCCAGGCCTTGGAGGTGCGCTCCCACCACCTGCTGGCCCTCGAGGCTGTGGAGAGGCCACTACGGGACCGCTGGGCTACCCTGACCGAGCTGGTGCCCTCAGCTGAGCTCAAGCAGCTGCTCCGAGCAGGTGTGCCCCGAGAGCACCGTCCACGTGTCTGGAGGTGGCTGGTCCACCGCCGTGTCCAGCACCTGCATGCTGCAGGCTGCTACCAGGAGCTTCTGGCCCGGGGCCGGGCATGTGAGCACCCTGCTGCTCGTCAGATTGAGCTGGACCTCAACAGAACCTTCCCCACCAACAAGCACTTCACCTGCCCTACCTCCAGCTTCCCTGACAAGCTCCGCCGTGTGCTCCTGGCCTTCTCCTGGCAGAACCCCACCATTGGCTACTGCCAAGGCCTGAACAGGTGAGCCCCACAGAGGTGAGAACACAGCCTTCTCTTCCCAGCACGGCTCCGTGTTGTAGCTCAGAACCCAGAAGGCCTTTGGGGTTGGTGCTTGCCACACTTCTTGCAGAATGTCTGGCGGGTCTTAGAAACGTTCACCTTGTTTGAAGTAGCTATCAGCTCAGAAAGTGAGTCTCCCTACTTTAGCCCTCCCTTAACCCTTCATGTCCAGGCCTGAAATCTCAAAAGTGGAGTGTGAGTGGTACAGCCTGAGTTACTGCCTGTTTGACTCTGGTCAACAACAGAGGGAGAGGGATCAGGTTCAGGACAGAACTACTCAGTTGGCAGAGGTGGCTATCCCCTCCAACACCGGGGGACTCTCATGAGTGGCCTGGTTATTGCCATAGAAATTGCATAGTCTCAGATACTTCCCAAAACAAGTTTGACTCAATTTAATTCAAGCACACATATCCTCAAGCTAAATTTACATAGGCTGTCTACTCTTCCATCAGAACAGGTGATGCGTGACATTTATTTAGCACAGAATCAGCGCTCAGAATGTCCTCACTCATATTTCGATGGGTCCCAAGGGCAGAAATTTTCCTGTATTCCTATTTCCAGTCTAAATGTGAGTGAAATTGAGCATGTGTATGTAATTTCTGGGATTTGTGAGTTAAACTCTCAGCAGTTACGGAGCTCAGTTCAGACCTATCTCAGCAAGACTGTCAGGATGCATTGCTGTACTGTCTGGGACTGGTGATATCTGTCATTACTAACCCAACAAGACTGTGCAGTCCTTTCTAAATGTATTAAATTCCAGAAGAGACATGTGCGAATCTTCCTTCAGAATAGCTGGCAAAATGACCAGGTAAAGGGGTCGGCTGGACTCGAACCCCAGATGGAACACACATGGCAGACACACATGGCAGACACACATGGCAGACACACATGGCAGACACACATGGCAGACACACATGGCAGGGGTGGGGGGTCGGGGGAAGAGAATCAGCTCCCATGGTTGTCCTCTGGTCTCCACACACTTGGCACATACATATTCACACATAAATGTGACCTTTTTAAAGATTACATTTTAAAAAAATAAAGTTTAAGAAGAGGGCCTATAGAGATGGCATCTTAGTGTTTCTATTGCTGTGATAAAACACCATAACCAAAAGCAGCTTGGGGAGGAAAGAGTTCATTTCATCTTACAGCTTGTAGTCCGTCATCCAGGGCAGTCAGGGCAGGGACTGACAGAGGCCACAGAGGAACACTGCTTGCTGGCTTGCTTCCATGGCTTGCTCCACCTACCTTCTTACAGCACCCAGGACCGCCTGCCCAGAAGTGGCCCCACCCACAGCAGACTAGGCCCTCCCACATCAAATGCTAATTAAGAAAATGCCTTCACAGGCTTGCCCATAGGCCAGTCTGGGAGGTGTTTTCTCATTTGATATTCCTTTTTCCCAAATGACTGTAGCTGTGTCCCGTTGACAAAACAACACTAGCCAGCACAGTTTGGCAGTGAGGGTCACTTGCTGCTCCTCCAGAGGACAAGGATTTGGTTCTCAGCAGCCACACAGTGACCCCCTAACTCCAGTTCTCACACCATCTTCTGGCCTTCGTGGATACACGCACATAAATGTGGTACACATAAACACATGTAAGAACACACACAGATACACATAAACACATGTAAGAACACACACAGATACACATAAAATAATAAGTAATTCATTTTTATTTAAAAAAAATAGAACAAGTAAAGCTAATGAATTCCTGACCAAAAATAGAGTAAGGGGCGTTAAGGTGGGTCTGGTGACAGAGACCTATAATCTGAAAAATCACAAGTTCAAGGCCTTTCCGTCTGGACTATAGTTGAGTTCAAGGACAGCTTGCATGATTTAGTAACTACCTTGTCTCAAAAAAAAAAAAGAAAGAAAAAGAAAGAAAGGAAGGAAGGAAGGAAGGAAGGAAGAAAAAGAAAGAAAGAAAGAAAGAAAGAAAGAAAGAAAGAAAGAAAGAAAGAAAAGAGAAGAGAAAACCTGAGGCTGGCTCAATGGTAGGATGCTTGCCCAGCATGTGCAAGGCCCTGGGTTTAATCCCCAAAACTCTCCAAAAAAAAATGGAAACAAGCTATGTGAGACCAGCAGCTCTGGGATGGGGGAGTGGTGAGTTTTAAGCTCTGACCCTGCAGATGGAGGTGGGGACCACCTTCCAGCTGAGACCTGAGAAGTTGCAGAAGCTGTGCAGAATTTCACTATGCATGGGAGCCGAGCAGCCTCTGGCCCTGGATTGGCCCGTGCCCAGTCCTTCCTACAGCCCACCCTTTAAGTGGGAGCTGGGCCAGAGGGGATGCTGGGCCACCCCAAAGCTTTTCTGATCCAATGTGTTCTTTATGGAGGCCAGGGGCCTTAGCCACACAGGGCCTCTCAATTCCAGAGGTTGGCCAGTTGCTAAAGGGACAGAGAAAGCTGTCATGGTAGGAGGGCCTTAAGTCAGCAGAATGCCCTGGTGTATAGGGAAGCAAGAGCCACAAGAAGGCCACAGGAGAACACGTGAAGTGAAAGGGGGCAGGTGCCTTTCCGTGTATCTCTTGAGACTGCCTTTGCTTAAATTGATATGCAAGCACACATAATTGGTATCCACGCAAATATTTATACTATTGCTTTAAATAGAAAGCTATGTATACTAGAGCTTGCCTGGGTCTCAAGAGAGGTAATGTTTTTGCAGCTACAAATCCCTTATGGCTGTCTGTGTCGCCATCTAGTGGTCAATCTTAGAACTGCATGCACTGTCAGAATAAACAGTTCACCCAAGGCAACGAAAAGCAGCTTGTTCCTGAGGTAACAGATAATGTGGAGATGTGTGTTGCCAGCTCAGAGCAAGCATTTAAAGTCCATTTCCCTGTGAAAATAATTTAGGTGCACTAAATGTAGTTCTTGCCTCCCTCTGCACATGCCTTTGCAGGCCTGTTCAGGTGGTATCCCCCCAAAGCAGTGGTGAGCCCTGGCAGGGACTAGCCTTCAATAACTGGCTGTCTGTATGCAGAAGTCTAAAACAATACAGACCGGAGTTCCTGATCTGAGGACATCCTGGGCATTGTGGGAAATGGTGGGCTAGGATAAACAGCAGCAGGCTGGACTTGGGCATCTGGGATTGGGTCCCCTCTGCCAAGATGCTCTTAAGTGATGGCCACTTTTGCCTTCTGAGTTCCAGTGTCCCCATCTGTGCAGTAAGAAGTTTGCCTTGACCAGAGGTAACCCGTAAGAAGAAACTGCTAGATACCTGTTTGAAGGAATGTCTGGGGTAGTGTCCAGGCCCGACAGCATAAAGTTCCATGACCAATTACACATATCTCCCCCCTGGTCACCGATAGAGTGACAGTGGACACACGGGATATTTTCTGTTCTTGAACCCAGTGACCTCTACAGGTCCCCTCCCCCTGCGCCAAGAGCCTCCTATGTCCCAGGAGACCTGCGGCTGTTTTTCTCTTTGTACTCTCAGCTCAGAGTCAGGAGAGTTTGTGTAAACATGGAAGGCAGAGCCAGAGCGAGCAGTGAGCTTCCTTCCCAATCAGCTGAGAAAGGAGGCGGCACTCCCTGTTTTGTGAGAAACAGTCCTGTTCTAAAAGTCATGAACCTCAAAAGAAAATGAAGGTCATGAGTCCAATCCATGAAGAACCCCAAGGCACATAAACACCTGGCTCTGAAAGGGCTCTGAGTGCAGGCTGGGGTGGCGCACACCTGCAATCCCAGCACCCGCAGACTGAGGCCAGAGGATTGCAAGCTCTAGGCCAGCCAGCCTATATAGTGAGACTGTCTCAAAAAAATACTAATAAATTTTAATAAAAATAAAATCAAAGCTTCTGTAAGTCCACAGAGACGCCATGACTTCCAGCGAATCCCCCTTCTCCCTGTCAATGACCTGAAGAGGGCTGCTCCCAGACCTTATGTGTAACAAGTAGAAGAGGCCCCATGATTCCTAGGAACCCCCTGTATCAGTGTGTCCCCTGGGCTCGTTGTTACAGAACGTCATGAGGCTTTACTGCAGCACTGTGAGCCTCCCAGAGTGTCTGAGATGGACTGTGTTCCTCAGATGTGGGACCTTATGTTCACCAGGGTTCATGGAAGACGTGCTAGGGAGTGCACTCTTAGACTGGCCTGGATGTGTCCCCTCAGGAAAGGTAGAAGAAGCAGAGTGCTTCTCTGGGGGAGATGTCCCCACTCAGCTCAAGACTTGTCTGTCTGTCCCCGTCTCAGTAGAACCTCGTAACTGGGTGGAGGCGCATAGGAGGAAAGGCCATGTGTGCTCAGCTCGAGGCTGTGCAGTGAGTAGGGCACATTTCTGCTCTTATTTGGGACCACACAGCTCTGACAAGTGAGCGGTGTTGCTGAGAGTCTTCCAGAGCTCGCCAGCATGAAGGTGAAGGTAACCAGTACTTACCAAGCACTGACTGCATGCCATGCACTGGGTGGACAGCAACATGCTACTGCCAACACAACCAACCACTGGTCCTCACCCAGCCCTTATACTTATGAGGCGGTTGAGGCCAAGACAGGTTAAGTAATTTATCCAAGGCCACCCAGGAAACAGTTCTGACTGTAGTTGCCATCCAGGCAAGCCAGCCTCAGAGCCTCTATTCCCAAATTGGTCTTCATGGCTCTGGAAGTCAACCTGAGCATCCTCCTCCAAACAGTGTCTCACCCCGGGTGCCATGACTACCAGCCTGGTCTGGGATGAGGGCTAGGCCAGTACCCTATAGGAGGACTCAGACTCGGACCAAGGATGCTGCCTCTGCTCTGGGTTACTCCAGGCTCCTCCCTCCTCTACAGGCTGGCGGCCATCGCCCTGTTGGTCCTAGAGGATGAAGAGAGTGCCTTCTGGTGCCTGGTGGCCATCGTGGAGACCATATTGCCGGCTGAGTACTACAGCAAGACACTGACTGCATCCCAGGTGAGCAGGAGGGTGGTATGTGGGTCCCCCACCCCCGAGGAGTTCCTTCAAGCCAGCAGATGTGGGTCTCTGCCTCTCCTACACAGTGGCCTTTGAACCCTCTCTGACTGCTGGAGATTTCCTTGTGAATTCCCTGTAAGATTGTGAGGCTCTGTTCATTGCAAGTTAGTCCAGCAGTGACGTCATACCACCGAGAAGAGTTGCTTCCTGGGGAGGGAAGAGAGAAATCAATGTCTCTTGCCATCTCCCAGTCAAGAATAGAGAAAGACCACAGGATGGTAGGCTGGGCAGTGGGCTGGGGGTGAGGAACAGCCTCCCTGCACATGTTGTGGTTATGTAAGCCACATCCCTGGGGAGTGTTGCTGCCCTGAGTCGGGCAAAGCACCCCAGGTCGGTCAATTCTAGAATAGGAATAAGATCACTTTGTGGACTTAAACATTATAAGTGAAATGCTTCTGGCGTACACCCTGGTCACAGATGGGGTTGAGGGTGGTACAGCCCTCTTATAACCAACTGGCAACAAACATGAAGATGGCAGAGCAGGGAGCCTTGGGTAAACTACTTAACCTGTCTCATAAGCATCAGGGCTGGGTGAGGACCAGCGGTCAGCCGTGCTGGCAGTCAGCACATTGCTGTCCACCCAGTGCCTGGCATGCAGTCAGTGCTTGGTAAGTACTGGCTACCTTCACCGACATGCATCACGTCCCCGTCCCCCACCCAGTTCTTGCTGAGGCAGCCCTCCTGCCTTGTAGCCTCCATCCTTCTTTCTTCCAGCCTCCCTCCTCAGCTCTCTCCCCTCCTGCCATCATGTCTGACATCCACTGCTCCTCCTGGGCTGCCCTTTGGGATGGCAGAGATCAGTTGCAGCTGCATGGGGAGAACCAGTCAGACTTAGATAGGAACTGTACCTGGCCTCACAGAGAGGAAGGGGCTAAGTATGGTCCTTGATGACACAGGATCAGGCTCCTCCCAGCTCTGATCAGGCTCCTCCCAGCTCGGATCAGGCTTCCCTCAGCTCCCACTCTGCCATCCTCATGTTTGTCACCAGTTGGTTATAAGAGGGCTGTACCACCTTCAAGCCCATCTGTGGCCATGATGTACGCCACAAGCAGACACGCTGGAGTTTCAGTCTGCGGTTTTTACTTTCTGCTTCCTTTTGGTCAGAACCATGACTTGGGTCTGCCCCGCTACTGTAAAGGCCAACTGGGAAATACCCTATCTCACTGCTGCTTCTGAAAGGTAGATGCATTGAGCACCAGCATTAAGCTTGCTTTTGGTTTTACTTTGATCTTGGAGAATTGGCCACATTTAGAACAGAGAAGATAGGCGGGGGGTGGGGGGGAGCACCCGCTAGTCACCAGTGGACAGAAGAGCCTGCCCCTGCCTTGACTGCCGTGCTGTGGATCACAGGCGGTTCTTTGGTTCCATTTTATCACAGATGGTGGCTCTGGGCTGGCCATGGCCACTGATGCTGCCATGCCTCTGAGGGAGGAGGGAAGGTCATCCCTGAGTACTCACCATAGCAACACTGAATTCCAGACTGACTTGCATAAGAAGGACTGTCATGGTTCTAGACAAGGAGCAGGAGGGGACACAAATCAGGGCACTGGCAAGGTGGAGGGAGCTGTTCCAGGAGTAACCAGCCATGTCCACTGAAATAAATAAGGCAGAGCCACCAGGAGAGGTCACTAGCAGCTGTGGCCTCCAGCTTCCTGCTTTAGATTCCTGCTACCTGATGTGGCAGGATACTTCCTCCCCATCAGTGTCTGTCCCAGGCCCTCACCCCAAGTACCCAGCAAGCATCTTAGGAGTCAGGCCAATATGGATCTAGAGAAGCAACTTAGAAAAGGTGCTCCTTGTTTTTGTTCCTGGAAACAGGAGACAAATTAGTTGCCAGGGACATTGGCTGGGTGAAGGGAACAAGGACTTACCCATGAAGAGACCCATGGGAAAGTCTGTTGTTCTGCCCAAGTGTCGGGAGGCATGGCGATGTTGCTGCACCTGATACACACACACACACACACACACACACACACACACACACACACACACTGTCCCCAGTACAAAACAGGCCTGGCCAGGAGCTCTGACATAGAGTCTGAAAAGCAGGCAGAGAGGGAGCCAGCAGTAGTGATGGGCGTCGTCTGCCTTCCAGGTGGACCAGCGGGTGCTCCAGGACCTCCTCTCCGAGAAGCTGCCCCGACTCACTGCACACCTGGGGCAGCACCGTGTAGACCTCTCTCTCATCACTTTCAACTGGTTCCTCGTGGTCTTTGCCGACTCTCTCATCAGTGACATCCTCCTGCGAGTCTGGGATGCCTTCCTGTATGAAGGGACCAAGGTAAGTATGCCTGGGCCCCATAGAATGGAAAGATGGCCACCTGTCAGAGCCGTTTGTGATACCTGAGAGCTCAGCTCCTTAAACTGTAAAGTGCTCTGTGCAATATGAGAGGAAGCGGTGGCCCTGCCTCTAAAGCCTGTGACCTCACCAGGCGACCCACCAGCAAAGATGCTACTGGGACTAAGCCCTTGACTGCAGCAGGGCAGTGCCTCTTCATGCCTTGTAGAGAGACCAGGCATAAAGCAATGTTGCAAGCCGTGCTCCCTTTAGGACTCCCTCTCACCTGTCCCTCTGGCTGCCCCACACCTTGTGCCTCTAGGCTTCCACTCTGGCCTGTCAGAAACCTCCACATTCCCAGAGTCTCTGAGTTTCTTCCCACACAGTACCTGCCTGGGTACCCCACCTGAACCCCCACTGTGCCCTAGGTGGTGTTCCGATATGCTCTGGCCATCTTCAAGTACAATGAGGAAGCAATCCTTCGACTGCAGGACAGCCTGGAGATCTACCAATACCTGCGTTTCTTCACCAAGACCATCTGCGACAGCCGGTGAGCTGCCCGCCCCTCTGTTGCCCCACCCCGTGCCCTTCCTCAGTATCCTTGTGTGGCAGGCAAGCTCCACAGCCCACTTTCACCCTGCCATCGACACCCAGGCTGTGGGACAACCAACCCACCACTGGCTTTGTCCCTAGTTTGTCCTACTAGGAGCATCCTGGCTCCTTCCTCCACTGCCACCATCATCTTGAGCCTGGTCCCTATCCTCAAAGCTAAGCTCCCATGTCCCTCCTCCAGGAAGCTCTCCTGAGCAGCCCTTCCTTACTGGGTCAGGTGCCTGCCTAGCTCCCTCCAGCCTCAGCTCTACGTGGGAATGGTCTTTTCCCCTGGAAGGTGAGCTCCAGAAGGCAAGGCCACCATTCTAGGGTTGATGAATGTCAGGACAGGCCCCGAACTGTCAATCATTGCCCCGCTGACAGTACCTTCCTTCCAGGAAGCTCATGAGTATCGCCTTCAACGATATGAACCCCTTTCCCATGAAGCAACTGCGGCAGCTGCGGGCAGCCCACCGCGAGCGATTAGAGGCCGAGCTGCGGGAGCTGGAACTGCTGAAAGCCGAGTACTTGGAGAGACGGGCATCCAGGGGCAGAGCAGTACCCGAGGGCTGCGTCAGCGAGGATGAAGGAGAGGGCGACAGCTGACCTAGCACTCTGTCCCCAAAGCCTTTCTCACCTTTGCTGGCAGGAAGATAGAATTCAGGCAAGGGTCGGAGGTGTGTGTGACCCTGGACAAGGCCCTTGGCCTCTCCAAGCCTTGTCTCCCAGGCTTGCCAGCCTGTATCAGCCCCCACAGAGCACTTTAGCACATATAGAGGCAGCAGGAATCCCACTGGGTCACCTGAACAGTCTCTGAGGCACCACCGTTTCTGTTTGGTTTGGATTTCATCTTCTGACCAGGTCTCGGGGAACTCCAGCTGACCTCAGACTCTATGCAGTTGAGCCTGGCCCTGACCTTTGGATCAGACCCATGATGACATAAAGCAACGTCCCTGTGGCTGATGGCTCTCCACCTTTAGGACAGAAGCAGTCTCATTACCTGGGCACAAAGTGTCAGGGATGTTTCCACTGACACCTTTTGGCTCGAGGCCTTGGTCACCATTCTTGTGGCACCCCAAGTTCAAGGCCTACTACATTTTCAAGGTGTCTCTCCAGGCAGTAGCCCTTCAGAGTTGCTACCTGGATCTCTGTTGAGACCACCCTGTTCACAGGGACTATCTCTACAGATAGTCTAAAACTTGCCTTCTGTTTACAGCCCACTGGGGACATCCCAGGGGAACCCCTGCCTGTCACCCTGAGGAACCTGACATGGACTGGACAGTGGGCCCTGAGCAGGCATCCACCCTGATGTGCCTCTGTCACGTGGGGCCAACAGGGTAGGCTTGAGAGGGCAAGTAGACCTGCAGCCCATCTGGCTCACCAGAGTGAGTTGGTAAGCAGCCTTACTTGAAGGGGACGTGGCTAGGTGGTGACAGGCTCTCCCAAAAGCCACCACCAAAAAGCCGAAAACAGGTCAATCTGTGTGCACGGGCTGCTGGATAAACAGTATCCTCTCTACCACTCCCTCCACTGCGCTACAGCCCCCACCTCTCCTTTCCCTCACCTCTCCCTAGAGAACTCTGCCCAAGCACTGTGCTCCTCCTTGGGGGACCAGAACAGCTTGTTCCAGCATTGCTGGGCCTTGGGCTCCGCTGCTCTTGGAGCCATGCGTTCTGCTAACCTGGGGGTTAAGTGTTCTGGGGCTAATTGCCTCCTCCAGCCCAGACCAAGCAGGCAGGCTGGAAGCTGCTTGTTCTCACTCACCCAGGGCAACACCCATTAACAGGACACAGAGAACTTAATGTAGTGTCACACAGAATGGGAGGGCGGGTCTGGCTGTGACTGCCTGTAGGCACACCTATAGGGTAAACTCTAGAAAGAGAAAAAGGGGAGTCAGGTGTGGGGTACACATTTCTGATCCCAGCAGTTCCAACATTGGACTACACAGCCAAACAGTGTCTCAAAAACCAAATAAATAAGAGAAAAACGGTGAGCGTCTGAGCTGCCTGAACTGGAACAGAGATGAACAAGGGATGCGGGTGAGCCTGAGACTCTCTGGGCTGCTGCTGGGGCAGAGCCTCCCCGTCCCTCGGGGCCTGGGGCCTACCCCTAGTGTCAGGTTCCTTGCTCGCCCCACAGCTGTTGCCCCTTCCCCAGGGGCCACTGCTTCAGAGGCTGGAGGATCTGATCCCACAGCCCCACCTTCCTACCCAGAACAGAGATGGAACTCCATGATCGACCCCTCCCACCCCTGGACCAGCAGACCTCGTCACAGAGAACAAAGAGACGGGGCCTAGGGACCCAAAAGACTCAATCGAGAGGGACACTCTCCCTTCCAGACTACTTTTTTCAAGGGTTCCCAAATAGACCCTTGCCCTAGAGGCTATCTTCTCCCAGTACAACACACACACACACACACACACACACACATGGCCAAATTCTACAGGACAAGTAGATGGAAAGTCAGTCAGTAGTGTCCCCCTCCCCAACACACCCTCTAGTGTCTGACCAGGCCCTGGTAGGTTGTGTCCCCTTATGTGTAACTTAGGGTTTGTCAGGGGCTGCCTTCCACACCTGAGGCAGGATTAGGAGAAGGTAAGAGGAAACAGGGAAGGCCGCTCCCCAGATACGGAAGAGTCATGCCAGGCTCCAGGCCTCCCCCTCTGATTTACGGGTCCATATCCCTACAATCTCCAGAAAATCCCTGTCAAACAAGCCTGTCCCAGTAGACAACTGGCCTGGCACCCATGAACAAGAGTTTCTTTAAAAATGATTCTGAAATAGACCTTCAGAAGGAGACGATGAAGACAGAAGCTCAGGGAAATACTATTGAGAGAGACCCTGGCCTCAGCCTTCACTGAGTTGGGACATGCAGATGAATCAGCCTGCTCCCAGATAAAGCCACGTCAGAAACACCTTAGTGGGCCCAGCATGAGGGCCCCAACCCTTAGGAGGCTGACAGGAAAATGAGCTCAGGCTTCCTTCTTAGTTCATAGACAGTGTAAGACCAACCTAGGCTATGTGGGACCCTCTAAAAAAATTAATAAAACAAGTGGATAATAGTGCTTGTCACAGAAGCCAGACAGCCTGAGTTCTGTCCCTAGGAACCATGTAAAAAGAGATGAGAGGCAGAATTGCCTGATGGCTCAGGGACAGCCAGCCAGGAGTATGCAGCATGGCAGAAATAAGATGGAAGGAAAGAACCAACTTCTGAAAGTTTTCCTCTGACCCCTACACAAAGGCACACACATAGACACACGTAAAAAAAAAAAAAAAAGATAAAAATGTTCTAAATTAACACAGACCCTTGAGTGCAAACATCCAACTGCTGCCGTTGTACACTGTGTGCTTGCTTCTGCCAATGCAGCTCCAAGCAGCCTAGTCTGGGGACGCAGGAAATTTATACGTGGGCAACCCACAGCTCTAGTCCTATAATCCAAGCTCCAAGAGGCTGAGGCAGGAAGATGGCTAGTTCAAAACCAACCTGAGCAACTTAGTGAACTCTTGTTTCAGAAAAAGAGGAGAGGTCTCACAGTGTAGCTCAATGGTAGAATACTTGCCTGGCAAGAACAAGCAAGGTCCTAACGTTCAATCCCACCGTCACGGATGCATATATACATATACACATTAAATTAGTTATAGAGCCAGCCTGCCAAGAACTCAGCTAAAGTCTCAATTTATCTATGAAATGGGAGAATTATTATGGCTAGATTGAAGATGGTGGTAGATCAAATGTAATAAATTTTGTACTCGCTCAACAATATATACAGTACCTACCATGTGCCAAGTACTGTACTAGCCCCCTACCACCACCAAATACATCACTACAAGGCACGAACAACTCTTTCCAAGAAAGTTGGTGTGGCGTGGTTATTATGAAAGATATGACGTCCTATCTTCCATATTCAGCGAGCACGGGCTGAAAGCCGGAGAGGCTTGAACTCAGCGCCCCCTACTGGCAGCAGTGGGAAGGCTCTCCTCCCGGATGCGCAGCCGCCCTCTGCTCTCCGGTTCTCCCGCCGCCTGCGGAGCTGCGGTCCGGGCGCTCGCTGCGGGATCCAACCGAGAGCCACCAGGGAGGCCGGCACGCTGACTGTCTCCATCTCAGCAAGGGGAAACTAAGGCTCAGGATCCAAGTCCCATCCAAAACCTGCGGCGAAAGCGTGCAGGAGGCGAGAGTGTGTGCACGCGGGACGGGATCGGAGCTGCGGGCGACGGGCGGCGCACAGGCGGAGCCTCTCCGTCCCGCCCCGCCCCGGCCCCGCCCGGCCCGGTCCCGCCTGCCGGGCTGCGCGGGGAGGCGGCGGCGCTGGGCGCGGGGACTCGGCGGGCGGCGCGAAGCGCGGAGGGGGAGCCGGAGCCGCTGCCGCCACCTGCGCTGCAGCCAACAAGGTAGGGCGGGACTGGGCCGGGAGGGACGCTCGCTGCGCCGGGGCTGCGGTTCTGTGGCGGGAAAGATGCTGCCCCCGGCGTCGCGGAGACCTATCCTCCAGACCCCCGCACGACCTCACACAAAGCTCTGCCGCGCTCCGGTCCTCAGTTTCCCCAACGGAATAGTGGTGCGGCCGCCCCCTCAGTGGGTGACTAGGAGCAGCGACCCCCAGGTTCGGGCTCCAGAGGTTAGGGGCCAGTCCGCACCGCCCGCGCCTCTTGCCGCGGTGAGCGGCCCGCCCTGGGCGCGGCAGCCAGTCCCGACAGGCCCCGGTGTGGCCCAGGTGCCCCGTGGACCCGAGTCGTGATTGTTTCTGTCCTGGCTGGGTTACCCGCGGGGGCCTCAGCTTCCAGTCCTGGGAAACGGTGGAGGAGGAAGCATCCCCGCGTCCCTGCCGAGGCGACCTGGGCGCGCGGGTAGGGCGAGCAGTCTGCTACCCAGACCAGCCTCGTCGCCTGGAGCTAGAGGAGGAGCCCCGCGCTGGCGGTGGCCAGATCTCAGCTTCAGACCTGCCTGGACCCGAGCCGAGCAGACACCCACCTGCATTCGGGCATTGGGGAAGGACATCTTGGTCCGAGCCCTGGCCAGCTGCAGGAGGCCAGTTCTGTGTACCAGCCTGATGGGACAGGGTTGGCACTGCCGCACTCGGACCTCAGTCCACTTGCCAGGAGGGCAGTGATTCCTGGGGTTGGGGGACTGAGCATGTGTCTAAGGGTGTCGTAGCTCTCCAGGGTCTTTGAAGACCTCTGGGGTAGGACTGGGAAGTTCTATACGATGCCTCTTGATGAAGGTCTTGTGTTGCATTCTTCTCCAGATGGAGAATCTCACTAGCTGAAACTGGGAATCTGTTCCCACTGCAGCTGCAATCCTGCTAGTGTCCCTTAGATAGCATGTGGCCCTTCTGCCTCAGAGCCTGCTCTCCTGCGAATGGTCCAGGGACTTGTTCATAACCACCTGTGCCTCAGCATAGGAATGTGTCCCTACACCTCCCTCACCTCCTGACATCTCCTGAGGGAAGTGGAGGGAGAGAAAGGCCTGGACCCATCTCTGGACACTTCTGCCTCATTTCCTGACATCTGCCCCAATTAAGGAACAGGTTCAGCACCTCATGATTGCCTGCCTCCCCCCCCCTTACCCAGGGACTTTTTTAGGACTAAAAGAGGAGACCCTTCTTCCCCCAGCCCCAGCGCAGGTGGTGAGCCCTGTGTCATCTAAGTGTACAGGCAGAGGGCTGGGTGGGCATTGTGGGGTGCTGGGGGATGCCAGGGCCGAAACAGAGTGGCAGGGACCTTGCCCTGTGGCCCCAACCTGGAGCTTCACTGCAAATGGGTGTTATTATCCCCTCATAAAGGGAGACTAAGTATAAGTGTGGCTACCAGAGCCCAGCGCCAGCTCGAAAGCCTAAGTACCACCTGAGTCCCCTGTCATTGTGTGCGTTTGTGATCTGGGAGGCCACAGTGGATGGTACATGAGCAAGGCAGGTTCTGATTGTTACAAAGTCATCCTGAACCTTAAAAATGTACTGTGGAGCTGTGGATTCTCTGACCTGAAAGGGTCTCTAGAAACTATCTCACCCCACACCCTTATTCTACGGGCAGTCTAGAAACTGTCTATTTCATCTGACCCCCTTATTCTATGGGAGATAATCACCTGTCCAGAAGGGGGTGTGACTGGTAAAAGGCCACTGACAAACCAGCCAGGAATCCTAACCCCAAGAATGGGGTGCTGAGAAGCTAGGCTGCAGCTCATTTAACAGAGCTTCATCCCCCCAAACCAAATAGACTGAACTTGGAGAGTCACGCCTGTAATTCCTCCACGTGGAGGTGGAGAAGGGAGGATGGGGAATTCATTCACCAAAGCCAGGCTAGCCTCTGCTACAAATTGAGATCAAGGATAGCCTGGGATATATGAGACCCTGTCACCAATTTTAAAAGGTGTAAGGGGGATATAAAACATGTCACAAATGAAACAGTTTCATTGCTTTGTAAAAGTAGCAAGATATAAACCTAGAAGGTTAAAGACTGTGCTGGCAAGGCTGCAAGCTGTTGCCTGAGGTGTGTCGTTTTGTAGGGTAATCTGGCAGCCATAGAAGCAAAAGTCTGTAAGATGGATCTGCCTGCCCTTTGCTCCCAGGCCTCCCCTTCAGGGACTTTCCCCAAAGGAGGTCACTAGAGAGACACGGGTGTGTTACTACTATCGTGGAGTGTCCTGACAGTGAAGAAGCATGCTGAGGCTTTTGGAACATTGAAAAAAGGCGGTGGCTAAGTGGCAAGATACCACCCCACCACTGTCCACGTGGTCTGGAGGAAAGACCCCGAGGCAGGGTGGCAGACACAGACCCTGCCCCCTCTGTGATCTCTGGCTTGCTGGTCTACACCTCAGTTTCTCCATCTGAGAAGTGGGTGTGGCCTTGGTGGTGACTGAGTCTGCACAGCTCAGCAGTGGAGCCTTCTGCAGGAGGAGCAGAGCACTCTGGACATGCAGAGATTGTGCCGCCCTCCCTTCCCCAGAGATAAGTGTGCTCCCTCGGGGAGGGGGGCCAGGTCCCCCCAAAGAGGCTC